GGGGATTGTTGGACAAATAGCATTAAAATGGAATTTTAAGTGGCTATTTTGTGGTACAATTATCAGTGGGGTCCACTTCCGATTTGGGTCGGGTCAAAGTGGATTCGGGTTCTTCGTAGTGAGACGAAGAGATTGATATATTGTACGCTCAAAACGGATAATGGGTGAATGAGATATTGATTCTCAAAGTAGACCCATTGAGTTGGAAAAATGAAGGGCAAATCAAATTCCAACTAGACGAGATTGAAAAAGGCTTGATTCAAGCCCGAGCTCGTGTGCGCCGGCACTTGCGGGCACGAATGTCGTCCGGAAATTGGCTCCGCCTTGCGGGCTAAGTTATGCCAACTTTCGGACCTACATCCCTATATAAGAAGGGGTAGAGTGCTGCAGATTTTCTAAGCACATAGTGACAAGAACACACAACACAGGAAGTGTTTTCTCTCCTAAAAAAAAAAACTCTGCTTCTACTCCTTTCTTAAGCCTAACTGTGTTCAAGGCTTTGCTCCATTCGCCGGGTCCGTTCGTTTGGGTGCTCAAACGTCGAACCGTAGCGCGTTTTATCCTGGGAAACCTAGGCCACGACGCTCCTAACACTTTCGGGAGGTGGCAAATAAGGTTTTAAGGAAAGAGTGATCTCTTGACTCACGCTAAAAACCCTTACCCAAACACGAGCCATCTTTCCTTCTTTCGGTTTTGGATTATGCTTCTAAGCAAAAATCCTTCCTTTCTGATTTAGTTTGGTTGGAATTATAATCTGTGGATTATAAATTCTATTTGGTTCATATGTATATATCTTTTCTGTAGATATTCATGCATATAACCTTAGTGGTCTGATCTATATATATATTTGTGTGTATATATATATATATATATATATATATATTTCGGATATATATATCGAATAATATTTTATATACTTCGTGTGTGTATATATAAATATTATTTTACGATATTAAATCGATTATTGGTTCATTATCACCAACAAATAATATATAGACATTATATATTGATGTACTATATAAGTTATTTCCTAAAATATAAATATCACATTTATAAAAATAGTTTACATTATTATTATTATTATTATTATTATTATTATTATTATTATTATTATTATTATTATTATTATTATTATTATTATTATTATTCGCATTTGAACCAGTATATATATATATATATATATATATATATATATATATATATATATATATATATATATATATATATATATATGGAAGGGATCAGGAGCATTTGTTGAATTGCTTCCCGTGCGGATGTGCGGTGGATTAATGTGCGTGAGGTTTATACTTAATGTGCGTGAGATTTGTACTCAATGTGCCTGAGATTTGTACTTAATGTGCGTCATGTTAATATGCGTGAATTTTGTACTTAATGTGCCTGAGTATTGTGTTTAATGTGCGTGAGATTTGTACTTAATGTGCGTGCGTATTTCAGAATTACAAGCTCAGAAGGAAGCAGAACAGAAACTCACGCACGCACATAAACGCCCAAGCTTCTTGTTACTTCTTCTTTCAATTTGGCCATGTATTCTGGATTATCAGCTACCTTCACTGCAGTTGAATGTTTATATAAATGACGCACAGTAAAATTTGCACAGCAGCTAAGTGTGGATTTTGTTGTATTATTCCCATAATTTTTAACCATCATAGCTCGCCTCCGCATCATCATCATCAGGGAGGGGGCAAATGGCTACTGGGGATGGGGAAGAAGCTGACATCAATATTTTCTGCTGCATTTTACACATTCATGCACATTAAGTACAAACCTCAGGCACATTAAGCACAACACTCACGCACATTGAGTACAAATCTCACACACATTAATCCACCGCACATCCGCACAGGAACCTTTCACTATATATATATATATATATATATATATATATATATATATATATATATATATATATATATATATATATATATATATATATATATATAGTTACGTTCACATGATGACAGTAATATATAGAGGATTAATTGTGTGGACAGATAATGAGCACACGACAAATTAGTATCATGCACATAATTTAATACACACTGACACACTAGCATACATGTAAACATCATGAACGTTCGAATCCATGCTCTATTAATTAACAAACTATGCACACAACATACAAATTATGGCACACGACTACATTCGGCCATGCGCATACGACATACAGACTAATGACACACACACATTTTATATATATATATATATATATATATATATATATATATATATTTTGAGAGAGAGAGAGAGGGGGGGGGGGGGGATATTAATCAAATATGAATTGAACCATCTTTTTAACTTTATGAGTTTATAGGTGCATGAACTAATAATGGGAGAAATATAATTATTCAATTTTTTAGAAAATTAAAAATACATTAAAAACAGAAAATAGTTTACTTTATAATTCGCCAGGCCAATAATTTGAAAACAAAGAGCAGAATGAAAAATGTGAAGAATTAAGGGGGGGTGTATTCAATCATGACTTTTGTAGAGTTTTAAAGACTTTTAAAATGATAGATTTTAATAAACTTTGATTGACTTTCATAGAGTCGTTCAAAACTTTTTAAAACTTTATAAGACTCTATAAAAGTCAATATAAAAAACATTTATAGACTTTTATCAATTTCTTATTTTAAAAAGTCTACAAAAGTCATTGAAATTCTAAATTGAATACATCCTTACAAACTTTTAATGATTTTGATTCTTATCATTTATAATTTTCTTACAAAACATTTATAATATATCATAAAATTTTTCTTATTATATAGTTCTTCACCTACATCAACATTGTCAACATTATTATTTTTATCCATAGTATGCTGAGACTTATATATATTATTAATAAACATCAACAAAAAAAAAAAACTATTTCATTAGAAATTCATAACAATATTGAACAATAAATTTTATAATAAAAGAATTGATCAAATAAAATATTTAAAAATATACGAGTAATTACAAGTTTCATAAAATAAAAAAAATAAAAATATAATAATAATAATATATATATATAAATTATACTTGATATATTGCTAGACATCACGCAAAGAACTATTATTTGCAATAGCAATTTGAGACTGCGAACAACAATAAGGTGCTACTATTTACAACTCCAAATTGTTGTTGCGAACAGTAGTTCACTATTCGTAGTAACCTATTGTTAAAATATATATATATATATATATATATATATATATATATATATATATATATATATATATATATTATGAATATAAACATAAAATGAATATATAAAAATCAAAATATATAAGTATTTATATGAATATTATGAAACATATACTAAAATTTGAAGATGAAAAATTTGCTTTGTTCATGAATTTAGGGAGAATTAGAGAAAGTTAGAGATAAAAAATTCATAAAAAATATAAAAATCAATATAAACATGCAATAATGAAGTAAAAATAATATTATTTTAAATTTGTAGAGGAAGATTGTAAAGTTTAGGAGAGAGAAAAATTGGTAGAGTTTGAAAATATAGGATAATGAAGAAAAAATAATTTTATTAAATTTAGATAGGTTTATAAAGTTTAAATAGGGAGAAAAAATAGAGTTTGAATAGAGAGATAAAACATTCAAAGTTGTTAGAAAGAAAATTTTGAAATCTTGGGATTGATGGTTGGATTTCAACTATTTATATTTGAGAAGGAAAAGTCTACAAAAGTTATAAAATTAAAAAGTCTACAAAAGTTCATAACCTTTTGGATACCACATGACTTTTAAAGACTCTCTAAAAGTCTTAATCAAATACCACATGACTTTTAAAGACTCTTTAAAAATCGTGATTGAATACCGCCTGACTTTTAAAGACTCTCTAAAAGTTTGAATTGAATACCTCTAAACTTTTAAAGTTCATAAAAGTCTTTAAAACTCTATGAAAGTCGTGATTGAATACACCCCCTAAAATAAAAGCAACCTGTATTCAAAAAAATAAATAAATAAATAAATAAATAAATAAAAGCAACCTGAATTTCACACATTTTGTATTAGTATACTGAGACCAAGAAGAGAATAAAAGAATAGATAAAAGATGGATAGCAATCATACCTCAATTGGGAGGGATATGGTAAGTCTTAGACCTGTGTGAGAGTGAATGATGAAATGCTGCATGGACTATATATGCCAATTTATAGCCACATGCACTATCACCAACAATTTCACTTCGCTCTGCGCAAAAGGACTATGAGTTTTTGCAGATATGACTAGGAAAGAGAAAATGGGAAGGAAGGGAAAAAAGAAAAAATATATAAAAACAAATTTTCTTTTAAAAAAGGTAAAGATTTAGGCTCTCGGCTGGGCGCGAGATTTACATTTATAGCGGAAAGAATATTTGTTTGATGTCAAAAAGGAGTGACCAAGTGGTAAACTTTCCTGGCAACTTCTAAAAAACATTAATTACTTAGAGCAATAAGAGTTTATGAAGTATTTTTTAGGAAAAAATATATTCTTGATCCTTCAGTTATATCCGTAGTACAGATTTAATCCCTAAAGTATATACGTGACCATCTTTAACCTCTAAGTTATGTGGGAAGTAACGATTTTAATTACTCGAGGACTATTTATGTCATCAATATGTTACTTAATAAAGTGACGAACTTGATACTTTAGAGGAGAAACTCGTTACTTTACGCATAAGTTAAGAGTTAAAAGATAAACTGTGGACAAAAAAGTTTTAAAATTTTATCGGGTGTAATAGGAACAATATGGTGCAATATTTACATTTCAAACTTGTAAATATTATTAATTTACTAACTTACGTAAAAGTGAATAAAATTATTGTATTATTTATTCTTTTAAGAAGATGTTCACTTTTTTTTTCCTATCTCATCAATACTGATAATATGATGAGAATATATATTTCTTAAAGTATAGTTAGTATTTTCTAAAATAAAAGTACCAACACGAAAAGGGGGGATTAGGAGCTGCAATTCGACCAGAATAATTATCCATCTTTCATGGAAATTGAAGTGATTTTATTAAGCAGAAAATGTAGAGTGATTACAGAACAATGGGACATAACCTCCCATATATGAGTAAATTTAAAATTTGGCACAAAAAGCTTTGAGATTTAACTAAGATTACTGAAACTTTTGAGACCAAATTGAAGCTAAAATGAAATTTCAAGGACCAAACTCGAAATTTTCTCTGGGGTCTCAATGATAGAGGATTCAACGAAAGTTCAACTGCACGGTGCCCCCTGCAATAGTAAAGAATGGAAATATATACTTACAAGTTACAAATCCACTTTGTATCACCTAATTATATGTGCATGAGAAATAAAATTCTCTTAAAACAATTACTGGTCCTGAAAATTCGTTAATAGATCAATTAATTTACAAAATAATGATCCATGTTTACTTTTTTTTTTTTTTTTTTTTTTTTTTTTGTATTACTTAATCATTATTGTGTGGACCATGGTCTACACAAGCCATATTTTGTTTACTTTAAAATAATATACATTCAGTACCAAAATAATGTACATTGTATACAGGGGATGTACATTATTTTTGTTCTGAGTGTACACTATATTGTATAATGTACATTCAGTACAAAAATAATGTACATTTAGTTTATTAAAAATGTACTTTTTGTAATGGTCCACATAACATTGTGTGGACCATGGTCTACACAATAATTTGCCCTACTGACTCTGTTATAATGTAATATCTGTTCGTAATTACTTTCTCAATCTACTGAAGCACAAAGAGTCAATACCGCCCTCACTAGGGACCGAACCCATGACCTCTCATTTGGGAGAGCCATGCCATTAAATTTAGGAATAAGGGTCAAATAGGTCATCGAACTGTATACGATAATGCAATTAAAGCACTGAACCTAAAAAAAAAAAAAAAAAAAAAAAAAAAAAAAAAAAAAAAAAAACTACAATTGAATTTCTAAACTAACATATTCCATGCAATTAGTTCAATTTACAGGTTTCTAACAGATCACCCAAATATTTTTTTAAAATAGTATTTTAAAAATAATTATTTAAAGTTAAAAAAAAAAAAAAAAAAAAAAAAAAAAAAAAAAAAAAAAACTTCGTTCTGTATCTTCGTCTCCATGGCCGGAGACGAAAAGAACGAAGTTTTGTTTTGTTTTTGTTTTTTTTTTTTTTTAATTTTAAATAATTATTTTTAAAAAATATTTGGGGTGACCTGTTAAAAATCTATAAATTGGACTAATTGCATGGAATAGATTAGTTTAGGGATTCAATTGTAATTTTTTTAAGTTTAGTGACCTAATTGTATTATCGTGAGCCGTTTGATTACCTATTTGACCCTTACTCGTTAAATTTATTAACTAAACATCATTTGCTTAAAACAAATCAAATAGTTTTAGTAACACAGAAACATGAGACCTTACCAATGCAACATGAGACCTTACCAATGCAATGCCTCTGGCAGCTCTGTCTTCCAAGAACTGTGATGGCTTGAAGAAGTTACCATAGGAGTCGCACCAACTCTTTAGCCTTGAACATATGTACTTTGGTCCAATTGAATCTACCCAAAATATTATACCTCCACTGCAACCAACAAAACAACAAACTCAATATTTATCCATTTAACCAAACCAGATGGAAGAAATATAACATTATGGTCTGTCACATTCTGCCTTATTTTTAGGCATCATAGTTTGGTGTTTGGTGAAGCTAAGGTTTTAAAAGAGAAGAATCCCATCAGTGTAATATAGTTCATACGTTTCTGAAGGGAATTTCATCCCATGGATAGAAGCAATATCAAGGTCTGAAGTTCGGACGACTATCCCTTCTTCAATAACTCGGGACGCCTCATTTATGACTGGAAAGAACATCATCTCCAAGATGTCTTGGTCTGTCACAGATATTGGCAGCAAATTGCAGTAAGACAAATGTATCAAGAGTGCTATACAATGTTTCATGATTGAGAAATGAGTTATATACCTTTCCTCCGGGCATAATTTTCGTGAGCCTTCTAGATTCTTCAACGATTTGTAGGACAGATGTATTGGGTTCTGGCTTCTTTCCTTTCACATATAGGTAGAAACCATTTCCATCCTTCTTGCCTGCAATGCCAAGTTGCCAACATTAATTATTTTCCTCAACAATCTCATAGAGTGACAAAATACCTCAATGAAATCGAAAGGCAAAGGACGCCTTGGTGTTGTTGAAAACAGAAATGAAATGAAACTTTAGTTAGTGCTTACAAGCTTAATCATGTTGCTGAACGATACAAACATGCTTAAACCATTTAACATGGTAAATCTTTCTAAACACCACATTTATGGTTTTGAGGAAAAACTTGTATATGAAGTTTAGATTTCTGTTCTTCCTTGCCTATGAAAATTTTAACAAAAAGCCTACTTACCAGTATGCCCATTTTCAACCATAAGTTGAACTAAAGGAGACTGGAAAGTGCGATCAGGAAATGCAGCAGCAAATTGTCGTACTCCAGCTAGAAATATGCCATATCCTGACAAATCAAAAAGCCTGCAAATTCGATGGGAATTGTAGAAAATCATTAGAGAACTTCCGGCAAGTTGAGGATCATACAGAAACATTTTAAGCAGATGATATGCTAAATAATGGTATCATTTGTAGCACATCAAATACACAAATCATTTCCCTCCCTATGCAAGAGGCTATATCATCATTATTATGTGGCTATCTTGACGACAGTGAATTAAGATAACATGAACACTTGAAATGTGAACAGGTACATGCTTGTAAACGATTCTAAATTTCTAATATTGGCAAACAATGCAAACATGCAGGAATTGTGTCTCCAATTGCGACTGTTAAAAATGAATTCTCATATCCAAATTCCAATGAATATAAACTGTCACTTTTCCAAGTAATAAAATCGCTAATATGCATCCCTTGACTCTCTGCAGCATGGGCTCAAATTCTAACGTAGACAGGCAATTACTAGTCAATTTGCATCCACACATTTTAATTCAAACCCCCTTCAGCTTTATTTGTTTCATCCACCAACCATGACAAGCTAAATGAATTTGTACAAACTTTCCACCAACTTTAAGCAAGAAGAAAATGCAATATTTTTATTCAAAAACAAGAGAACAGAAAGTTCTGAAAATGATAATTTTACAGTAAGTAGAAGAACAGTTCAGTGAATAACAGCAATTCATATTATGCAATTCCAAGCTATCATGTAGAATATAGTATATAATGAAAGAACAGATTGCTTACTGAAAAGGGCCTATCCGCATGCCAAATTCACTGATCACTCGATCAATTCTGAATAAATCAACTCCCAAATTTGCCAACAAATCTGCTCCTTGCATATATGGGAAGAAGGTTCGATTGACAGCAAATCCAGTGCAGTTTTTAACCACTATAGGAAATTTCTTCAGGACTTTTGAGAATTTCAAAACATCAAGTATCACTTGATTAGAAGTGGTTTCTGATTGCACAATTTCCAAGAGTGGCATGACATGAGCAGGACTAAGTAAAGGAGAAAATGACCAAGCAATCAGAGCATGAAGAAATGTGTTTGACAGATGAAATATAAAAAATTATTTGACAACTAATTGTTTTGTATTCACTTCTTTTATTTCTTACAAAAGAAGCCACAATACGTTCATTTTGCTTTACAGGTAAAGACCAAATTCACCAAGTCAGTCATGTTACTAAAACTTGCATTAAGTACAATCACAACAACACTTTCTCCATTTCATCCTATCCTCCCTATCCTAGGCTAATCAATGCATAAATTCATATGTTTATAGATATGACAAGAAGACCTTTCCTACCTGAATAAATGTGTTCCTAGAATACGGTCCTGGCAATTTGTCCTTTCTCCAATTTCATTAAGATCAATAGTGGATGTATTTGATGCCAAGATACAATGAGGAGGACAGATCTTCTCAATTTCTTCAAAAATTGACTGTTTCAAGTCTCGGTCCTCATATACAGCCTGACAGCAATAAATCATGATAAAAAATAATTAGATGAAAACTTTAAACACATTCCAATGTTAAGAAGTAGAAGGTTTAGATAAATCATATAAGTCTACAATGAGAAATATTCGATGTTTTACTTTTAGTATAGTATTAGGTCATGTCATTCAGGGTAATGCAAAAAGGTGCATGGGTATCAGATTCAGGGTGACCCTGAGAGAGAAGGGAAGATGGTTTACCTCTATGACCATATCCACATTTCTGAAATCTTCATAGTCTATAACACCTTTGAGGAAGGATAATGATCGCTTCACTTTGTCCAGATCTAGCTCACCTCTTGTTACTAGGCCATTGAGATTGACTGGATTAACACAAGACATGCATCATAAGTGCACCTATTATACATGAGCATGTGTGTCTGTTCAAAAGATTTGAAGTGACTTGTGTCCTACTTCATTGTATAAATATTAACAGAAACTTAAACATGGATGCCTTTATTTTACATGTAATTCTACTGTAAAAGTAAACTATGCAATTATAATTGGACTCTATGTACCACACAGTCACACAAATCCAACAGGACATGTAGATATGTTGTGGAAAAGTGCAAACCAGTTACATTATGATTGTATAAACAGAATTTTTCTTGGGCAGTGAATTATTGAAGGCAAAAAGTTAAGTGAATTTGAAAGAATTTCACAAGTTAAATATTTATTTATGATAAGAAATGTTATGAAGACCCCCCTGCCCTTCCCAAAGAAATCTACAGGCCAATGATATGAGAGACAGAAGCTTCTCCCACCCTCTTATCCAAAAGCATACAGTAGTCCTGGTCTTGCTTGAAAATTCTCTCTTATTAAGGTGATAATAAGCATATTACTGTTCTCAAAAGTAATATCCATATATATATATATATATATATATATATATATATATATATATATATATATATATATATGTATGAATACTAACCTTCAATTGATTTTATAGCCTTCTGAACAAATTCATAATTGATTTCCTTGAGTATGACATGTATATTGCTGACAATAAGAGTTGTAGCAATGCCAGTGCCCATTAAACCACCACCAATTATACCAACTTTCTCCACTATCCGGGATTTAAACTGGCCAATGGTAACACCTGTAACCTGCACATAAAACAGAAATTTTGAATTGTTTAAAGGGAAAAGGGTCAAATAGACCCTCAAACTATTGCTCAAAAGTCAATTAGGCCCTCCAACTTTTTTAAGAGGCAATTACACCCCTGAACAATGTATTTTGATGCAATGAAGCCCAAATGCAGGTAAATGACCTGCTATCCCAGGTCATTACAAATCCGGCGACATTCCAGCATATTTTCAGGCAAAAAAGTGACCGCGACGGTCGCCGGTCACGGAGCCCTCCCGGAGAAGGCAACCCAAATCTGGGTTGCCTTCTCCGGTTGAGAAGGCCACCATTGTGGTGGCCTTCTCGCTGGAGAAGGCACCCAGATTTGGGTTGCCTTCTCCGGTGGAGAAGGCCACCACTGGTAGCCTTCTCGACCGGAGAAGGCAACCCAAATTTTCTGTACATTCATAATCTTATAACAGAAAATTCATAATCTCATAAAAGAAAAACATTTATTAAATTATGAATTTTCTGTTATGAGATTATGAATTTACAGTTATGTAATTATGAATTTTCTGTACTTAATCTCATAACAGAAAATTCATAATTTCATAACAGAAAATTCATAATCTCATAAAAGAAAATTCATAATTTCATAACTGCACATTCATAAATCCATGCTTGCACATCATAATTTATGAGTGTTGAAGAAACTTGCGCGAAGAGGAAGTGAAACTGCAAAATATGAATATGAAGAAGAAAAGTCGCACTGTTAATTAAAAAAAAAAAAGATAAAAAAAAAAAAAAGAAAAAAGAAAGATTGGTGGAAGATAACGGTGCCCGTAGGCACTGTTACCTTTTGGGACCGTGTTCACCATGGATGGTGAACATGGTTCCATGGCATAACGATTGCTAAGTTAGAGGCTCTAACTTTTCAAAAGTTATAATTTTAGTCTATTTAGGCCCAATTTGGTAACATAACTGGCTTATCAATTAATTTTTGGCTTATTTGATCATTATTAGCTGTTTGATTTGGTTAAACATTCATAAGTGTTTAATTAATTAGCTTTTTGTAATAGCTTATTGCTATTAAAATGCTAAAATTCAAAAAGTTGTTCAAATTTATTTTTTCAATAAGTTTTTTGAGAAAGTCATTGTACAGTTATTAAGTAACAACTAATTTACCAAACATATTTCTACAATCAACTAATGATATCAACTAATTAATCAAACCCACTAACCATGGTCCACACAGTGTTATGTAGACCATAACAAAAAGTACATTTTTAATATACTAAATGTACATTATACAATATAATATACACTCAGTACAAAAATAATGTACATCCAAAATACAATGTACATTATTTTTGTGCTGAATGTACATTATTTTTGTACTGAATGTACATTATTTTATAGTATACAAATATCGTCCATACAACTTGTATGGACCATGGTCCGCACAATAATGATTGATAACTAACAATTATTTATCAACCACTCAAACACCACATAGACCTAGGAGTGATGTTATGGAAGGTGGTTTACGTACCGGAAAGTGTCAATGCATTTACCGGCGGGTTGGAGAGAGCAATCACAGCAATGCCATCACTTCCAATCTCCATTGTCACTACCTTGCTGTTACCTCCCATTTTTACTGCCACCTCCAAACTCATCAATGTAACTCCTACAATTTTATTATTCACTGCATTAATTACCCACCCCCCCCCCCCCCCACACACACACATATATATATATATATATATATATATATAGTCAAGTTCCCGTTCGGACAATGCTTCCCGTGTTACTGTTCAGCCACTCACCATTAGGTACGCATAAATGTACCCTAAAATAGTTTGCTTTATAATTCTCCAGGCCAATAATTTGAAAACAAAGAGCAGAATGAAAAAAGTGAAGAATTAAAATAAAAGCAACCTAAATTTCACACATTTTGTATTAGTATACTGAGACCAAGAAGAAGAAGAATAGATTAAAGATGGATAGCAATCATACCTCAATTGGGAGGGATATGATAAGTCTTGACCTGTGTGAGAGTGAATGATGAAATGCTGCATGGACTATATATGCCAATTTATAGCCACATGCACTATCACCAACAATTTTATTTCGATCTGCGCAAAGAGACTACGAGGTATACGGATTAGTCAAAGTGATGAACATATTGGTTTTTTCATATAAGTGATGAACATATTGGAAGGATGAGCTACTCACGCCAACTAAGCTTATTTCAATATTTTAGATTTTCAATTTTTGATTATTGTCCCAATTTTATATTTAGCATATTCTTTTAAACTTATCATATTTACCCTTACTTTTTTTTTTTTTTTTTTGGGTCTTTTATTTGTATTATGTTAACTCATATCACATTACAATTAAGGACAAACATGTAATTTTCATCTGTGTCAAGTCATTTTAACTCCATTTTTTTATTAGTCTTAGGATGAGCTCAAAAAGCTTGGACTCCTGAATTTGAGGAAAAGTTTTTTTAAATTTGAGGAAAATTGAATTTTTCTATATCTGGTTCATAAATACTCATTATTTTTTACAATTCAAAATCTAACCAAACAATTATGAAATCAATACTCCCAATGATTTTTTTTCCACCAACAAAACAATGTGATTAATTTTCCCGGTAAATTTTTTTTTTCATGATATTTCAATTTCATTCTTCCTCAAATATTTTTCCACCAAATGGGTCACTTCTATATATAAATACTTTGTATCAGGCAGAATGTTTTAGTACATTTTTGAACATTAAAATATTGTCTCTCTCTCTCCCTCTCTCTAAAATGCTCTCTTTTCTTTTCCTAATTCTACCAGCACTTCATATTCAAATTTTTGAGTGTTTCTTTTGTTCAAGTTCGCCAAAAGCAATATATTTGAGTGCTTGAATATATTGTTGTAATCCATTATATCTTAGGAAATTGACACTTCAACTCTTATAGTACCCTCGTGAGGAAGTGGATCGATTTTATGAAATGTGTAAACATCACATACCTTGAACTTCTTGAAACTAGAATTATTCTTTTTTCAAGAAATTATTTTTTTTTTCAAATTTCTTTTTATTGAGAAATTTTTTCAACAATGTGTGGCATACAAAATGAAGAATAATGCTATTACAATTACCTCATAATTTTACCTCTGAATGTTCACCCCTAACTCTTGGCATATCAATAAAATTCTTTTTATTCATTAGCTACATAAATTAGATTAGCAGAGACTCCACCCATACTTATTAATTAAATATAAAATAAATCAATCAAATTTTGATAGAATAAGGAGAGTATTTGAATAGCAATTCTGTATTATATTTATATTTTTGTCATTTTTTTGGGGTGTTCTGTCTGAGTGGACATATTTGCATATATTGTCATTATATGCATGCAAATATGTCCAGTTACATGTGTTTCATTTTCATTTCCAATGAATATTATGAATGGTTACGTTGTCGTGATTAGCAACACTTGCAATTGTGATTCAATTTACAGTCATATATTTACCGAGCTCAGTAATAATACTGTCAAAACTGCAATTACGCGATTAAAATTTAGGAACAAGGGTCATTTGATGTAAATATATATTTGATGCCCATTATCCTATTTTATCGGATCAAGTATTGTATTCGATCTGTTTATCCTATGTTGTATCTGTATAACTGTATTTGCGATGATCTAATGAAAATGCGATTAAAATTTAAGAACAAGTATAAAATAGGTCATTAAAGATTGTTTTTGTGTAATTAGGTCATTACTGAACTTAAAAAGTGTGTACCATGTAAGTTATATGATTGAATTCTACCAGAAAAAATTGAAAAATTTTAAATTGTACATATTTTATTTGGTTAATGGTTTAAATGCATACTTTTTAAGTTCATAGATCTACTTGCACAAAAGTAATAAGTTTAGTGACCTATTTAACACTTTTTTCTAGAATTTATAATTAAAAGTTCAAATAATGTATTTACTCCTCGAACTCTCTAACATTACACACAAATTAAATACAATTCTTGGTAACCACAAAGTTATAAATTCGACTCCCAACGAACAAAAATAACTTGTTAGTTTTCTTAGTTTGAGTCTTCACCAATGAGCAACCTATAAACTGATTTACCTTATTGAATTGTAATCATTTGTCTGTTAATTAGGTTACAATAACAAGGTGAGATTTACCTAATGCACATCCTCAAGTAGTAACTACGGAATTCCATCATCACTCCAAAATAAATAAATAATTAACATTTTTAACATTACATACTAAATGACATCTATATCATATAATAATGAACTATTTACAAAAAAAAAAAAAAAAAAAAAAAAAAAAAAAAAAAAAACTTTTTTTTAGTACTACTGACTATGTTACAATATAGTATCTATTTATAACTACTTTCTCAACTTACTGAAGTACAAAGAGTCAATACCAGAGTCACTTCGTGCCGCTAGACTACAATGCCATTGGCAAAAAAAAAAAAAAAAAAAAAAACTACTAATTCTAAGGTAGTCATGGATGTCTTTATTCAAATTATCAAGATTAAATGCTTACCACTATACTAAAAAGTATAATTAATTCAAAAAACACAACTTTATTTCTTTAAAATTTCATTCCTTTGACTTTTTTTTTTTTTTTTTTTTTTTACAAGATAGTTCGCAATCGTTATTTGAATGTGCGCCTTAGTGAAACTTGTATTGTGACTCTAGTTGGCAAATAAGCACAAGGAGATAAATCATAGTTGGCCAACTCAAATTAAAAAGACTAATAGACATTTCCTATTGGGCGAAGGCTTGGAGAGTTGAGGCCAACCCAAAATCGTGAAATTGAAATGTAGAACTTACTGCTATGCAAATATATATAAGAAAATAAAGTTGCGACTTCACTATTAATTAGTTTGATTATGACAAGCTTCTACGGATAGTCAAATTTAAAATCTTATGATTAATTATAGAGGAAATTCTAATTTATTCCCCTCACAAATATGTCAATTATCAATGTCACCCCTAAATTAATAGTGGTGTAAATATTGCTCCACAATTTTCAAAATGTGACACATATATTGCTCTTCCCCTCATTAAATGTCAATGTTGATTTCTCCTTCCAAAAAGTTGAATACGTAACCCCAAAGGCTTTCCACACCCGTCCGACATAGCATTTGAGAATGTTAAATCACAGTGATTCAATGACTCGACAGACAAGGTCAAATGTTAGTATGCACAATGGATCTGCCCACTTTAAGCATATCCATACGCTACTGTTGCTGATGTTCAAACCTTAATTTGTTCTCCCAAATACTGTTTACTGAATCATTGATTTTTGAGGGTCAATTTGACTGTTTAATGAAGTTTTTGTTTCGATTAATTAAAAAAGACAGAAAAGAAAAAAAAGAGAAAAAAAGTGAAGGGAGTGTTTGAATTATCAGTGTTGGTTTTACCCATTTTGGTTGCATTCGCCTGTTTTCTGTTGCACCGCCATAAATACCAATGTGGAACTATGGCATGAAATGTTTTTTTTTTTTAATCCTCATAATACATACATACAATTTTATTTTTATTTTTTGAAAAAAACATTAAATAAGCTCTCAAACTTTACTTAATAAGTCAATTAGATCCCTAAATTTTTTAAAGTAGCAATTAAATCCATCAACATTATATTTTGATGCAATGAAGTCCAAAATCAGTTAGTGACATGCTATCACAGGTCACTAGAGTTTCAATCAACATTCTGGCCAACTTCGATGATATTTTCGACAATCAAGTGACCGGCTACCATTTTTACAATCGCCGGTGAATCAATGGAGGAGAACACCGGAGAAGGCGACCATTTGAGTCGCGTTCTCACTGGATGATAATAATAATAATAATAATAATAATAATAATAATAATAATAATAATAATAATAATAATAATAATAATAATAATAACAATAATAACAATAATAACAATAATAACAATAATAACAATAACAACAATAATGATGATGGTGATGATGGTGATGATGGTGATGATGGTGATGATGATGATGATGGTGATGATGATGATGATGATGATGATGATGATGATGATGATGATGATGAATTGATGATAATAATGATGGTAATAATAATAATCTAATCTAAACTATAATAAAGCTATATGGTTGGGAAGTAATTAATGTTACAATTAATGTTACTTTCCAAACCATATAGTTAAGATTAATGTTACAATTAATTACCAACATTATTATTATTACTAACTATAAATATAAAATAGCCCCAACATCCTTTACTATAAAAAAAAAAAAAAAAAAAAAAAAAAAAAGCACAACATTTGAAAAATAAAATAGCTATTTTTTTCTCGCCCATAACAAAGGATTACATTTATTGAATTAATGAAGTTATTAAATGTTATGATATTAGGATTAAGGATTTCGATTCACAATTAATAGAAAATATGAAACGATGCAATATCAATTAAATCTCTGGCTTTACAATAAAAGTTTATTTGATGTGCTTTTGTTATATATGGTGCTTCTTGGGATTACAATATTAATTAAATTTTCGATGAAAGCCTATTCGATATCTGAAACAGTGCAATTAATAATGCAAGCCTCTACATATAATTTTTCTCCCTCTCAAATGCTTCAAAGAAATGGCAGAAGCGAGAAGGGATGAAGAAAGCAAATGCCGCAGGCCGTGGGTCAATTATTGGACTTCAGAATAAAAAAAAAAATTCATTTTAGCCATAAATAAAAATTTAAATATATATATATAAATGTATATATCCTATGGGTCTTTAATGTTTTTCTGGATTTCTAAATTTAGGACTTTTAAAAGAAAAAATATACATTTGAATTATCTCCACAAAAAGTGGACTTGGACTTATAGAAAGACATTTGGGTTTATGGAATGACATGTGCATAAAGAATATATTATATAATCATATAAAAAAATGTGTTCAATTAGAGTTTAAATTTACTCATACAAAATTTGAAATTTACTTTCTAAATACAATTATCTTAGTTATTATTCGTATTGTGAAAATTATAATATAGATGAAATACAATTAAGAATAAATCAATGTAATTATGTAAATTCTCTCTATAAGTTTATTTGAATATGTATGTTAGGAACTCTTGTATTAGGATTTTGATGATACCAATATAACCTAGAAAGTAGACCCCTAACCTTTATCTTTTTTCATCGCCGCTTTCGTCTTAGATGAAAGTTGCCATAACTCACATGTAATTCGTGTTAAGCTAGTCAAACACACGAAGACGAGTTATGTTTAGTTGTTAGGGTTATCAAGACGAAAGAAGACACGAAGCTGAAGCAACAACAACGAAAGATAACCAGGAGTTGTCATTGAACACGAAAGGACAGTCTTATTGATGGCAATCCTTCAAGACATTCTTTCTCATCAATAGCAAAGAGGAATGTCTCCACTGTCTGACTTGACAACATCCTAGGATCAAAAGGACCTCAACTTGTGGGACACGCATACCAAGGAGCATTAAATGAAGATGTACTATTTCCTGAAGCTAAAGGACAAAACCCTAAGGCTCTCTATGCTATCAATGGCTACAAGGTACAACCTCATTAATGAAGCATTTAATGAGGGAAGCTCCCCGGTCCTTATCCACTGGACAATAGGTTTGAAAATTTCATCTCCTTCCAACGGGTGAAATTTTCCTCACCTATATAAACCCACCTTCATCAACTAAGAAGGTGCTGGTTCTTATCACTCGATCTATCCATACGCAAAAGCTCTTAAAACGCTCTCAGCTCTCTCAAGCTTTTGTGAACCAGTGTTAAGGTGTAAAGATACTTGAAGACGCTCATTGATCCTCATTTTACACCTTGAAGAACTCTTGCTATTTGTACGAAGCAACCATTCCTCTCGGTCAAGACTTCATCACGTTGGAGAAATCAGAAATCATTTTCTACCAACCTCAACTCTGAAGAAGAAGTTGATAGAGGCGGAGTAAACTCGAGGAGTTGAAAAACCTACGAAGGCTGTCCGGCTTAGTGATCAAGGAAGTCTTTGTGTAATTGTACTAACGAGTGATAGTGCAATCCTTCCATAAGTTGTGGAAGAAGAGTGGAGTAGGCAAAGTTGGCCGAACCACTATAAAACTCTCGTCACTCTATCTCTTCTCTTTTGCTTTTCATTTCTGCATCATTTTATCTTTCTCATCATCACTGAAAAATCTCTTATAACAAAATCCGTGCAAAGCTAATAAACAAATTTAACATCTCCGCTGCGCCAAAACACCGAAAGGTCGTTTTTAGGGCAAAACACGAAAAGAGTCTATTCACCTCCCCCCCCCCCCCCCTCTAGACTCTCGTTACAACTCTATCGGGACCAACAAGTGGTATCAGAGCCAAATACCTTGAACGGTAAAGGCTTTGCATTTACTGCCTGGTAGATCCCTTATCTAATCTCTGAATATTTGCATTTTTTCAGCTTTGCACAATTTTTTTTTTTGGAAATGGAAAAGGATCATGCTAACCGCTCTAAGCAGCTTGCTTTTAGCCTCTCTAAATTTGATGACTGGAAGATAAGAATGCAGGCCCTCCTCTGCTCCATACATGACGAGATGTGGGACGTAATAACAACTAGACCAATTATAGTTATGATGGTGAACACACAAGTCGCAGCTCAAGGGGCCGGTGCTGAGCAAATGATACCGAAGCCAAAAGATCAATACACCTCGGAAGAAAGGACAAGAGCAAACCTGGACAATGTAGCACGAAACATCCTCTACAACTCCCTTGACGACTCCTTGTTCCCTAGAGTCCGAAAGTGCAAGAATGCCATGGAAATATGGAAAGTTCTTATGGAACTGGGAAAAGGTGATGAACAGGAGAAGGACAACAAATTGACTGTAACTATGAAGAAGTTTGAAGACTTCAAAATGCTTCCAAATGAAACAATCATGGACATGGAGCTGAGGTTTACCAGACTCATGGGAGATCTGACAGATCTTGGGAAGGAACTATCTGAAAAAGAAAAGAATCTGAAGATTCTTCGTGGTCTGCCAAAATCTTGGGAAATAAAAGTCATTGCAATGAGAGACAATCGAGACATGAAAACAACAAGCACAGCAAAGATTTTCAGTGATCTTAAGGCGTACGAGTTTGAACATGAACCGAAAGATGTCGAAGAATCAGAAACAAGAAATGTAGCTCTAGTGGCTAGTCAACAAGCAACAAACTCTAACAGGTCAAAATCTAACTCTTGTGAATTCTTATCTGATGAGCAATATGCCCTATTTGTTAGGAAAATGAAGAGGTTCATGAGGAAGGACAACTTTCAAGACTCACATCGCTCGGGCCACCGAAAGCAACACGAAAGTTCACCTCAAACTTCAAAGGGAGAAACCCCAGACTCGCAATTGCTGTGCTACAACTGTCGTAAACCAGGACACTTCAAGGCCAATTTCCCCCACCCAATAGTGAGCAAACATCAAGACAGCAACGCTACCAAAAGCCCATCTAAGGAGACTGGAGAGAGATATAAAAGAAATGACAAGCCGGAATCATCAAGCTCCAGAAATGAAAGAAGAAAAAAGGCGATGGTAGTAAACGAAACTTCTGACAATGTTGAGGCCGAAAGTAGCTCCTCAAGCTCGAGTTCAGACGACGAAAGTACTGAAGAGGAAAAAGGTCTACTGTGCCTGTTTAGCCAAGAATCAGAAGATCTATGTCTTATGGTTGACGAAGATGAGGTAAACTCTCACTCATCCTCTTGTTATTCAGCTGAGTCCAGTTCTGTAGGAAGTCAAACCTCCAATGAATCTGTTACCGAAATGATGAGGAGGATCAAAGTGATCAAAAACACATACTCCAAACTTAAGGAGGAGAACTCTCGGCTCATGATTAGCTACAATGCTCTAAGGCAAGTTCGGGTTGAGAACATAAAGCTAGCTATTGTGATGCGTAGTATATTTGCAAACAAATAATTCTCGGAGTACGAGTTATCGATCCACAGGGAAGTGGTTGTATCAAGCACTAGTTACTAACTTATTCATTAGAGCTAATCCTAACAATTACTTAGATGATTGATTGGCATAAAATAAATAAAATAAAACAGAGGTTCAGGATTTTGAAAACAATTAGAGAGAAGTTGAGATTCATGGGATTCAAGTATTTAATCACCTAGTGCCAATTATCGTTTGCAATATTTAGTTTGGAATTAAGATTTGTGTGGGAATGCAAAGTGGAATCGAATTACTCCCGTAATCTCTATTCCTAGTGAATTTCCACTCCCATGGCTTAAACACCCAATAAGATCAAAGATCAGCATTCAATTATTCCTAATTACTACCATCTCCCGATTGGCAACAATCTAGAATAAACTTCCCCTAATAAGTTCCCCTTTCCCAAGGACCAACCATTAGGTGCAATCGTGTGTGCCCTAATTTATGCCCCAACTCCCATTGGTGACACAAACATGGCTATGAAGCTAGTAACTATGGCCATTAATTACAAGCTTCAAACAATATTATCACGATTGCAACACAAGTATTAAACCCAAATAATAATATTTTAAAGAAACTGAGAGCTCAGGCACATTGGTTCATAAACACTTTTACCCAAGAATCTCTAAAGAATTTAGCCAAGCATGACTAAATTATACATAGCAAATATAAATAAAGAATTACAAATCATCAAAAGAGTACAAGAATTAACCAGACGATTTTTCCAAATCTCCCTAGTCTTCTTCTTGCTTTCTAAGACAACTTGTGGCTCTTGATTTCTCTCCTTCTTGTCTCCAAGAATCTCTGAATTCTCGCGGTCCTCGTCCTCCCATTAGGGTTGAGGAAGGAGGGATTTTATAGTGGGTATAAAGTTGAGATGAAATAGGAATCTTGTACCAAATTGGACTCAAATTCTAATTCCTATATTTAAATAAAGAAATTGTCGTCTTTAATGATATTTAGAATTTGGAAGATTCCTTGAATTGCTAACTTTTAATATGGAGATATGAGCCTTGAAATCCGCGCAATTGATATTAGGAAAAGAGATCTCGCGCTTGTATTGAATTTTGCCCAGCTGCGCCACTTTAAGCGTCTGTTTTTTTATCCGCGCCACTTTAGGCGTCTATTTTTATCCCAGAAACAGACACATATTCGACGCATCGAGAATTTTCTCGACGCGTCGAGACTTCCTGTGCGCGAATTAGTTAGCTACTGGAAAATTTCGACGTGTCGAGCCCTTGGCTCGACGCGTCGAGTCCACTGGGCCCCGAACTCATCCAAAATTGCTCCAAACTCATCCTTGAACTCCCCTTGGTCATATCTTTGACCTAAAATGGTTCAAAAACACTAACAAACACCGTAAAATATTCAAAACAAGTGCGAACCATACTTAAATGATAATAGCAAGGAAAACATGTATTAAATAAGCAAAATTAGAGAGCTTAATTACTGTGATGATTCAAAATAACCATAAAAACAAGCACAAATGTGATAACATCATATTGCTAAGGAGCAACTTGAGAAAAATGTTCTTGCTCTGAAGGAGCAGTGCACAGCAAGAGAAAAGAGAGAGCAAGAACTCCTTGAATTCTTAGATAAATTCAATAATTCGTCCAATCTAATGGACCGAATGTTAAATGAATCTAGACTGCCCGGGGAAAAAACGGGAATTGGTTTTGACCCTAGCTCCTCTTCACAAGTCGACTTGAACAAACCCACGAATGCATATTCTCACAAAAGCTTTCAAGCTGCGTTTGTTCAAGGTCCAACCCAGGTGTCTGAGCCTATGACGGAGGTTAACAATGTCGCCACACCACAACCAACAAGCCTACCGAAAGGAAAGGCTGTACAACGAATTGTGGACCCTCGAAATGAAAATTCTTACAAAGGCAATCCTAGACAAAAATATGTCAAAAGGAATGGACCAAATGGCAATAGACAAAATCTAAACCATAAGAAAGGTCAGCCTAATAAGAATATTCAATCAAGGAATAGGCATGATGAGCTTAATTTCTAGACATTATTTAGAGTAATTTTAGCTAGTGATTTGCATAAATAAATTAAGTTTTAGGGTTAATTATATTATAAATATTATATTTAGTATATGTCACTAGTTTAGACTAGTTTAGATGAGTTTTAATAAATATTAGACTAATGTTGCATTTTTATTAATATATAAAGAAGAGTTCTATTTTATCTATTTTATTAAATTTATTTGTTAGTTTTATTCATTCTATTTTTAATAAGTGTTTTAATAATTATGTTTTAATGAGTTGTCTCATTAGTTTATAATTATTATTATTTTAACTTTATTTTATTTTTGTTTTCTTTGTCAGATTGGCGTAGGAAAAGGAAAAGGGGAATTAGGGATAGTTGGGCTTGGCTTTCTTTCACGGCAAAGAGGAGAAAAGAACCCTTATAAAACTGTTCTTGTTTTTGGGACGGGAGGAATAGAACAGAACAAAAAAAGGAGAAGGGAAAAATACGAAAAAAGGTCTGGGCAAGCGAGAGATTGCAGGCAGCGGAGCTTCGGTTGCAGCTATCGCTTCTCTAGGCTTGAATTACTTTCTCCTGTCTCTATTTTTATTCTTGTTCAAATTTCCAGAATACTATTTATTGAACAATTTATGCATTTAATTATGATTATTGGCTAGAACTTTAATTAGGGATTTGGATTAGCCTAAATTAGATTAATTGACTATTTTTCATGTGTTAATTCTTCCAATTTCAGTTTAATAATTGAATTTGATTATATTTATTTTATGTATTTTAATTGTGAATTGTGTGACTGGCCACTGCATAATTCTAATATTAGGGTTCATAAGAAGAACTGACAGGTGAATTATGAACCTAGAACTCGTAAGATAAACACAATTGACCTAAACTAGACATAGCTTTAAGTATTTGTGGTGATATTTGATTGTTGCTTAATGGGTTTAATTAATGTTGGTGAGATATCGACGGATAATCACAGTTAATTGGATACAACCTAGTAGCTCGACGGAGTATTAGGATATATTTGAAGCAATCATCACTATAGTCATAAGAATTAATGTTTAGGAGAGTTAGTTAATTATCTAATAGGTGAATCCCAAATCCCTAGTCTTCTCTCAATTGGAATTTCCCTTTGCTTTAAATTCATAAATATTCTTTTAATCACATTAATTCTATTTATTTGCGAATTTCCTTATCAACAATTTGATTATTTAAGATAACAGTTAATAGTGTTCTTCGTGGGATCGACCCTGGAATACTCCAGGAATTTATACTGTGATTGACTCCGTGCGCTTGCAGATTATAGCAATCAAGGCAGAATATTGACCAGAGGCAATATCATCCAAAGCTAACACGAAAGAATCCTAATCAAGGAAACCCGAGAAATGGACGAGTCAGACAAAACGAAAGATCCTTCAAAATATCTGGTTATGGCAATGGATGGACTGGGCCATCAGAGGAAAATTGGTTTCATTACCCAGAACCTCTATCAAGAGCTGAATTTGAGAGCATTTATCTGCGTAAACAAAACAATTATTCCAAGTATTATGAAAATCCTCCTGAAGAATATTTTCACGAGAGATATAATGCTAAAACCTTTGCCAGTATCCATTATGATTACCGCACATCTAATGGATATAAGGGACCAAGGATGAGTCGAAGAAACTCTAGGTTCATGTGGATTCCAAAGCTAACATCTAACCCTCAAGGACCCGAAAATCAAGGGGTACCTAAAAACATATAATCTTTCTTGCAGGACAAACAAGTCATATGGTATGTCGATAGTGGGTGCTCAAGACATATGACTGGTGACAAAACAATGTTGAGCAATTTCAAGGAAGTTGATGGACCTAAAGTTATATTTGGAGGAGAAAACAGTGGCAAGACTCGTGGAAAAGGAGACATAATCAAACAGGGAATAACCATACAAGATGTATCATATGTTGATGGACTAAAGTTCAATCTTCTAAGCACAAGCCAATTTTGCGACAAAGGATACAAAGTCGAATTCTCCAAAAACGAGTGTAAAATCGTGAACACAAAGGATGGCAAAATCGCGTTAACTGGCCAACGAAAGAAAAAAATGTATGTAATCTCGTGGAATTCTTCTAATGCTAACGTTTGCTTTGTGGCTAAAAGCAATGCAGATCTCAGTCAAGAATGGAACAACAAGCTGAGTCATCTGAATCTAAAGATAATCAACAAACTTGCCAAAAGGAATCTCGTGAGAGGGTTACCCGAAGCATCATACACAAAAGAAAAAATTTGCGAGGCATGTCAAAAAGGGAAACAAATCAAGTCATCTTTCAAATCCAAGGATGTGGACGGAAACTCTCGTTGTCTAAGCCTTCTACATATGGATCTCTTTGGACCAGTTGATCCAGCCAGTTTAAGTGGAAGGAAGTACACTCTCGTAATAGTAGATGATCACACGAGATATACTTGGGTGCTTTTCTTGAAGAAAAAGAATGAAACAGAAGTTATTCTTCCCAATCTCTTGAGGCAACTTCAGACAGAAAAGGAAGTCAAAATCATTCGAATAAGATCAGATCAAGGAACTGATTTCGTAAACAAGATCATAAAAGAATTCTGTGCAAAGAATGGAATCGTTCATCAAATCTCGGCAGCACGAACTCCTCAACAAAATGGAGTAGCCGAAAGGAGGAACAGAACTCTGAAAGAAGCAGCACGAACAATGATCGCTCACTCAGGACTGCCAAAGCGATTTTGGGTCGAAGCTATAAATACAGCATGTTACACACAAAACAGATCCTTGATCAACAAATCCCACAACAAGACGCCTTATGAACTATGGAAAGGTAAAATACCGAGCATTGGTTATTTTCATGTTTTTGGTTGCAGGTGCTTCATACACAACAATGGAAAGAATCATTTGACGACCTTTGACGAAAGAGCAGACGAAGGTTTGTTCATGGGTTATTCCTCAGTAAGTAAAGCATTTAAAGTTCTAAACAAACGAACAATGGTAATTGAGGAATCCATTCATGTCAAATTTGATGAACAATCTGAGAAGAATCCAGCTGGAATTGAATCATCAACTAATCCACCTCTCAACTCTCAATTAAATGAAGAAGAGGTTTCAGATGATGAAGAGGACATATTATCTTCCTACACGAAATATCAGTTGAGAATCTCAGAGCCCGAAACTACAACTCAAGAAAAACTTGTCACACAACAAAGTGCTCCTGATGCTCCTACACCATCCGAACCAATGATATATGTTGAGCTACCATATATTCCTGAAATGGATGCTCAGAATCAGCAAAATGCCTTTGAACCCGACCTTAGATGACTAAGAGATCATCCTCCAGATCAAGTGATTGGAAATGTTCAAGAAGGTGTAAGAACAATAACCTCTTTGCACGAAAATATGATGGCATGCTTCTTATCACAAATGGAACCCAAGTCCATAGAAGAAGCTTTGAGTGATCATGACTGGGTAATAGCCATACAAGAAGAGCTTCATCAGTTTGAACGAAATGATGTGTGGGAACTTGTGACGAGACCAACACATCAAAATGTTATTAGAACTAAATGGGTTTTTAGAAACAAAATGAGTGAAGATGGACTCATTGTTAGAAACAAAGCCCGTCTTGTCGCTAAAGGGTATTGTCAAGAGGAAGGAATCGACTTTGAAGAAACCTTCGCCCCTGTAGCTAGACTTGAAGCCATACGAATATTCCTAGCCTTTGCAGCTTACAAAACTTCAAAGTCTATCAAATGGATGTCAAAAGTGCATTCTTAAATGGGCTCCTTGAAGAAGAAGTATATGTTGAACAACCGCCTGGCTTCGTGGTTAACAATGAACATGAAAAGGTCTACCATCTCAAAAAGGCTCTTTATGGTTTAAAACAAGCTCCACGAGCTTGGTATGATACTCTCTCACACTTTCTTATCAATTGTGGTTTCACGAAAGGAGCTGTAGACAAGACACTCTTTCGCATAAAAGATGATGACCATATCCTTTTAGTACAAATCTACGTTGATGATATCATCTTCGGGAGCACGAACCCTATCTTGTGTGAGAAGTTCTCAAACCTTATGAAAGGAAAATTTGAAATGAGTATGATGGGAGAACTAAACTATTTTCTGGGTTTGCAAGTAAAGCAATGCTCAGATGGAATTTTCATTAGTCAAGTCAAATATACCAAGGATTTAATCCGAAAATTTGGAATTGATGGAAAAACATCTGTCAAAATTCCTATGAGCACATCCCTTAGACTGGATATTGATAATGAAGGAAAAGATGTGGATCAGAAAAAGTTTCGTGGCATAATTGGATCCCTTCTATACCTAACAGCAAGCAGACCTGACATTTCGTTTGCTGTTGGTGTATGTGCAAGATTTCAAGCCAAACCGAAAGAATGTCACTTGAGTGCTACTAAAAAGATCTTAAGATATCTTAAAGGGACGCAAAGTGTTGGACTTTGGTACTCGAAAGAATGATCTTTTGATCTCGTTGGATATTCGGATGCCGACTTTGCAGGATGCCGAATTGATAGAAAAAGCACATCAGGAACTTGCCAGTTCCTAGGGGGAAGACTTGTGTCATGGTTTAGCAAGAAACAACATTCTATTGCTACCAGTATGGCTGAAGCCGAATACATAGCTGCTGGGAGCTGTTGTGCTCAAATCTTATGGATGACACATCAATTAAAGGATTATGGCATAAATGCACGAGAAGTGAGCATTAAGTGCGACAATACGAGCGCAATTGCTATCACACATAATCCCGTTTTATATTCACGAACTAAGCACATCGATATCAAATATCATTTCATTCGTGATCATGTAGAAAGAAAGGATATATCTCTTGAGTATGTCAATACTGATGATCAACTTGCGGATATACTCACGAAACCCCTAAGTGAGGCGAGGTTCTCTTCTCTAAGGCATGAGATAGGAATGATAGAGATGACATAAAGCCTTGAGAATCAAATCTGCAAAGATTCTCATTGTGCTTTTTGACTACATTTCGCTCCAATTACTCATTTCTCATGAATTTTCTGATAACGTCCTCAACACGTAATGAGGGTTCAGTATCCAAAATATTATGACAAGATACGCACGTAACATTTGTGCCTATAAATTGGATTTCTTCTTGACAAACTTATCTCACACATTCAGTTCTTTAGTAAGAAAAATTTGCAGGTATGGATAAGGGAAAAGGAAAAGTGGATGAGGCCGAGGCTCGAGCTATTCGACGTGATCATCATCTTCGAGAAGCAGGCAAACTGACAAGTGCCACAATAACGAAAATAGTGGAAGATGGTGATAGGGTCCATGTAACATTCACCATGCCAAACTCGGCCACCCCGAGAGAAAGAAGAATCCAGGACAAAGTTGTCAACGAATCTCTGGCCATGAAGGACAAATGTTTGGCACAGGCAAAACATCTGGCTAACGAAAGGACGAAGGCTTTGATCAATGCTAACAAGCACTCATCTCACCCACACACTTATCATTGGTATCCAGTGGCTGAGGCTCCACAAAAGATTGAAAAGTCTTATGAAGACTTCAATCTAGTTCACTCTCAGTCACCAACTAACCAAACTTCGTCCACCCTCTCTCTAGAGGAACTGGATGAGTATGCAACCACGACAAATGTGTCTGATGTGACTGATGAGTTGACCCGTCTGGAGCTTCACGTGCCTTATCGTTTTCTTTAAGCTATGTTGTTTCTATCTGTATGGCCTGTTGTATCTTTGCATGATTCGTTTCAATGAAACTATCTATCTTTACTGGCTTTATTAATTATTCTTTTGACCATGAATCTCTATGTCAGACTATCTCTTTCGGGTCAAAGATGGAATTATGTCATAAAGCATTATCTCTTGGTTGTCTCAAAAATGACATCGGTCACGTAAATCAGTATGCTAATTGGTTCTACAAGAACCATAATCTCTCCTAGTGGTTAACCGTTAGACAAAACTCTTTATCCCATCCTGAGTTGCTATAAATGGGGAGGACATTGGCTTTACTAAAATGCATCCCTCTCATCACCAATGGCTCCTAAGGTTTCAATCACCAAAAAGGTGTCAAGAAAAAACCAAGCTCATCCAGAAGAGGGTGAACGAGGCATTCACAGTCCTGGAAACGATCCTATCAATCCTCTGAACATTTCATCTGACTCTGAAATTGAGGATTTTGATGAATTCATCGAGAGAGATGCTGATGGAGATGCAAGATCTTTCGATCCTAATGAGGAACCCCCTCTAATCGTTAAAAAGGGGTTCTTGACATTGGAAGCTTGGAACGATACCACTATGGATAGAGATCTCAGGGATTTCTATCGACATTATGATTGCAAATCTGAATTTGTGGGGTATGTTGAAGGAGAATCTGATGAAGAAATACATCCTGACGGTGGACCATTGCGCCCAAAAGCTCCTACATCAAAGAGAGCCACTAAGGTCACCAAGGGCGAAACCAGTAACACGAAGAAGGGAAAAGGAAAGAAATGAAAATTTCCTTGTCGTATGTTTAAAAATCGTCTTTAAGTTATGTATTTCTATTCATCCATGTCTCGTGATCTCTCTTTTAATTAATGAAGATTTTCGCCATGAATCTCTGACTATCTGACATCTGCATATCTTGGATTCATCTCTCTGACCCTAAAATCATGATTTTCTTGAAAATATTCATTCAAAGTCTTTTACACCATTAATGGCCAGTTGAAGAAATACATGGTCATTAATTACAGCGTTGAATGCTGTGAGCCGTTTCACAACGTTATCTCTTCAAAATCTTCCTATAAAAGGGGGATTATATTTCACTCTTCTCTACCGTTCTCATCTTCACAAATGGCTCCCAAAAAGCCCTTTACAAGGGGAGATTCTCGCAAACAACGAGAACTCGCCAGGAAAATAAGAGAAGAGCAGGGAGACATGTATCCAGGCAATAGCCTTCAAGCACCATTGGAGATCTCATCTGATACTGAAGAATCATCTCTGTATGATGATATGACAGACTTCATTGTTGAAGAGCCCGAAGAAAACCCTCCAAGAGAAGTTGACCCATCAATTCAGAAAACCCCTGATGATCACAGTAAGTAATACGATCAAGACTACATGGACTATCTGAAAGAAGAAGAACTCAAGTATGAACCAAAAGCTGAAGAGCCAAAGACTGAAGAAGTACCGGAGTCATCCTCGGACTCCAACTTTCTGCGTACCGGAAAATGGTACTAGCGCATGTGGGCTGATCTGAATAAGCCGAAAGTTGGGTCATCTGAGGGAAAGGGAAACGAGAGCAAGAAAAACTAATCCTTTGGATTATGTGTCTTATTATCTGTATTTGTCTCTCTCGTTTTAATGAATAATAAATGCTTGGTGTTAACTATTCTTAAATCTGCTAAAGTAATGAACAAAACTTTATTTGTTTTGTTCATTCCCATTTAAAGTTCATCTCGGGCTAAGTATACCCTTCTCGGAAATGAAAATATTCCCTCAAGCGTGATCTTTATATCTATGACTAGTCATTCGGGTCACATCTTTTGATAAATTTATTACTCTTTATAAAGGACCTTCTCGGGAAGTATGGATTCACCTTCTCATTTAAAAAGCGTCATGGATAAAGGGAAAGAAATAGCTCTTATAACTGGAAGTTTGTCTGAGTTCAAAATGGACTCTCGTCATAAACCTGAAAGTTCACTAGTGAAGGGATCATCATATGACGGATCTGCCAAAGCACCAAGGGTTTCTGATTTCTACTCCCTTGTACAACTTGCGCAACAACTAAAGAATGAAGAACCATACCGGACTCTTTATACTGGTGCTAAAGCTAAAGTTCTGGCTGAACTGGATGACATGGAGAGACGAGGTTTCTCAAGGGATGCAATGGGATCGGATCATGAAACAATCATAGCTGAAGTATTTGCACATAAGGTACAGAAGAAGGTATTCTTTGTCAATGCTCGAAAGAAGAGAACGGCCATGGAGTAAAGTCTCATGGTTTGTAACACACGAGAGATGTCGTTGCAGTTATCACTGCTCTTGTTTCGTGTAATGAATTATCTCTCGGGCAATGAATTTTCGTTGTATGCTTTATATGAGATTTGTTCGACTTTATTTGTCTTCCAAATCTTTTGTGAAATTTATCTCCTTTCGGTCTACAATTGTGGTTAAGACGCCTCCCATTGACTCTCTCATCTGAACCGTTTACACATTTCATCATGGGGATCGTGTGGCCAAGGAAAATGGTCCACTACCCCACGTCGTTTGAACAGATGATGTGATGGCATTTAATGCTCGTATAGGCACTTGAGTGGAATTCTCTCTCCACATTTAATATGGAATGATCAAAACTGATTTGAGCATGATCTTATCACTCTCCCATAAGCTGATCAGTTACCTTTTGAAGGAGTAGAACCCGTTGAGTATTTGAAATTCAAATCATCCACCCTAAAAATGGGTTGACCCATATTTGAATACCCGGTAACATATGAAACCCTACATATCCCCCTATTCTCCATACTTCATATCTTTCATTCACTCTCCGTCTCAAAACCATTCTACCATCTCTGCATTTTTTTTCAACACTTAAGAATGGCGGAGAAAACCCAAGAAACCCTTTCAAATGAAGAACCAGAAACCCCAGCCCCCTTGGAAATTCCCTCCTTTCCTACGGAAGATATACGATTCATCGAATCTAGGGCTCCACTCATTGTCAGAGGGAGCATGTGGGATGCTCATGGGTTCCTAGAATATGTTCTTGATCGCAAGTTTGGAGAAGACATCATCAATCTGCTTATAGAGAATGGGCTATACAGGTTTATCACTCATCTCTATACTTTATGGTATCCCATTGATGTTACGAAATTTTACTTGAATGCAACTGTCTCTTCCGATTCTATAACCATCACGTCTAGAGTTCATAATCATCAAGTAGTTATAACATTAGAGGACATACGAGCAGCGTATGAATTTCCTTAGAGAGATGAGACATACCAGGCCAACCTCTCTTTCTATCACTATGACCCCAGTGAGTTTTATGATACCATCAAGAACAACCATGCACCCGCGAAAACGGAGATTACATGACCCTTAAAGAAAAAGTGGTTCCGTCTAGACTATGAGTTCACTGTAGACATCTTCAATAAGATCGTCGATCACAAAACGTCTGGAACTGATGACGTCACGAAGGAAAAACTCAAGATACTGCATGCATTTCTTCACCAACACAAAGTTGACTGGTCGAAAGTTATCTTCAACAACCTTGTCCATACTGTCATCTTCAACAGAAAAAGTCCTGGTGATATCACAAAGAAATTAGGGTACGGATTTTTGGTTAGTCATCTACTTGTCACAAAGGATGTTCTTATGAGACCAGGAATCCGCCCAGGACAAAAGGCCTGCCACATGAAGCAGAAGCTCTCTGGTTATGACAAGCAGAAAGCTTTGGAGTTTGGGTATTCCTTTGGAAATGGTGAAATCCAAATGAAAGTCAAGGACACCGAAAGGATCAGAAGATGATCAACCAAAGAAGAAAAGACAAAAGAAAGAAAAGCGCTCCTCTCGGAGTAAGTCTAAAGAGGAAGCTGTGAGTACACCCACACCCACTCTCATATCTCCAAAATCTCCTGCAGAAAAGAAGACCCTTACCTCACCCATTCCTCCTCCAGACACAATTGTTGTCGAAGACTCCTCTGATGAAGACAATTTAGCTCTGTCAAACCTTGGTAAATCGAGACGTTTTCGTTCTCCTGTCAAAACGAAGTTTGGTTCATCTTCCTCCCCGAAAGAATACGAAACACCGAGCACTCTCTCAGGGGGAAGACGACACGAGAGAAGCATTCTCACAGGGGGAAGATCAGCCGAAAGAAACCTCTCCAGAAAAACCCTTTGATCAACAAGAGCCAAACCTTGGTCTCTCTTCTCCCAAGTCCTTCATACACAAGAACCCATTTCAGCAGAGCGAAATATTCAAAGCTCGACACAAGAACCTGCTGCTATGGACATGGAGGCCGGTCACTTAAGTCTTCCACAAGAACCTGGCTTGCCAACAAAGACGAAAGAAGTGGCTGTTGAATTATCTGAAATTCCATCTCTTCCACAGGAACCTACCAATGCAGAGCAGGTAACAGAAAATCTGACACAAGAACCTGCATTGGCAGATGAGACAGCCATTGTACCAATTGGAACTCCTGACATTCTGAAGACATCGACACCTGTTCCCGAAGTCACATCAAAACCACGAGTTGCTGCACCCATTCCTCCATCTCAAGATCAACTGCTTCGCAAGTCCATTGAAAATGACTACAACAGAGTGTTGCAATGGCAAAAATGGCGCACAGCCCCCTTGAACATATTCATCGAAAATTTTGAAGCCATGAAAGATGAAGAAGAGTTTGCTCTTGAATGGCTTGAAACCAAGGACCTGAATGAAGCACTACGACTTGAAAAAATAAGACGTGTGTTCTCCTACAAGATGTCTAATCGTACTCTCGGAAAGGATAAAGCTCCGATTTGCATTGAGCTCAACAAACCCCCCTTGGACCCAGCGTTTGAAGAAGAAATGAAGATCGTTCGCTATGCAATGTTGATATCCAAAGTCAAAACCATCCTGGAAAAAGAACATCAAAATGATCCTAACTGTAGTATCAGTGGTTTGAAAGATGAGCAAGGTCAAGAGATTGACACGACCGAAGATGAAGAAAAAGAAGACAGAACTGATGATGACGAGGATGCGGATGACGAGAGCGATGACAATGATGATTCTGGAAATGATGGTAACAATGGAGCTAATCAAATTTGTGACAGCCCATCTCCTCTCTTGATCGGTCCTGACTATGACACTGTTCCCGAAAGATCTCCAGCTCAGAAATCACCTTCCAACAGTGATGGCACAAGGGAAGCATCACAACAAGATGAAGACGTCCCAACTAATCATCCTGAAGATCTGTCTCGAGCTCTCGTTCCACATGTTCAACCTATGGACGAAACTCCAATAAAACGAGAGGAAGCAGTTGTAAATGAGGGCAAACTGGAAGCCTCCCCAATCCTCCTAAGTTCGGGCAGTGTTGGCAAAAGGGATGCACCACTTCAAGGAGACCAGGTTGAAACCCACAAACCGACATTGAAGAAGATTCTCCCCCAGTATCCCCACGAGGAGTTATGAATCTCATGAGAGAAACCGTCCATGCAGCCGAAACCATACATCAACAGTACTTGATTCTTAGGCAAAGGGACACCAAAGTCTTGGAAGACTTGTCTACGAAAGTAGATCAGTTGATGGCTGCACAAGTTCAACCTCGTCCACCACCGACAGAGCCATCTCAACCTCCACCGCAAACTAATCCTGACTGACAATTTCACGAGTGCGTGGCTAAGGAGCTCCATGAACTTTACACTGCTGTCAACAAAGTGGCTCGTCAACAGCACGAACTCAAGCATTCCCACTTCAGTCTTAAAGAGCGTGTTGACTTAGCCTGCTCAAAGATAGACACTTCACAAGACAACACATACCAACTGGGACAATATGCTCTTCAAACTCTCGGGTATGCCCAAGACATTCTGAATGCAGTTAATCAACTCTCTATCATTCCTCCTACCACTTGTGCCGATGATGCCAAAAAGGGGGAAAAGCGACATCATGATAACGATAGGGATGACAATCATCCGAGGGAAAACACGAGAGAACGATCTCCATCCCATGCACCAAGGAGTTATGAGCAAAGAAGTACAAATCCTCCATCCAAGTCTCGTGGTCACCATCCTTCCCAGTCAAGACACTATTCAAATCGTGGCCATTCCCAACCCAGATCACAGTCTCTCAAGCCTCGTCAATCCTATGGTTCTGAATCACAATTTGTATTTGCTGGGCTCTCCAAGAGAGAAAAGGCAAACCGAAGGCAGAAATTCATGAAAGACAAAAAGATAACAATGGATGGAGTAGGAAACTTTGTGGAGTACAAACCTTATGAAGAAGGTAGCGGAAAACGTTTTGAGGGTTGTAATGTTCCTACCTGGCTGAAGACAAAGGACAACTACACTAGACAACATCACATAAGCACCCAAAACGAAAGAATAAAAAGGCAAAATAGAGAACTATGAGAGAAACACGAAGAAGAAGCCCGAATAAGAGAACATGAGCTGAAGGAAAGAGAGAGAGAGCGTAAAGAAGCTTATTGAAGATCTCACGAAAGTCACCAAACACTCTGAGCATGGTGTCATCTACAATGCAGCTTTCAAAGTGCATGCCGAGTCTGGAAAGAGCTACAAAGAAGGAATGAATGCCTTTGAACTCATCTCTTGGTGGAAAGCTGGAGTAATTGCAGGAGCAAACATTCGGGAGGCCTACAACAATTACATAAGTCTCAACATTCGAGGAAAACACGAAGATCTAGTCAAGACAAATCCAATCAGGATCTTCAGAGAACGAATCAACAAGGAAATAGACACTGACAGAATGATCAAGCAGCAAGAGGAAATGGACATTCGTGAACGAGAAAAAGCAAAGCTACAGAAGTCGAATCCTCTAGAAGTGTAATATGCTTTTCTTTATGTTTATCTTAAAATCTTATGTTTATCTTAAAATCTTTTGTAATCTTCTTTATCCTTATATAAAGTACTCGTTGTTACACATCTTGTGTCACTTGTTTGAGTTACTTGACCCCTAACCGTTATTTTTTTTCATCGCCGCTTTCGTCTTAGACGAAAGTTTCCATAACTCACATGTAATTCGTGTTAAGCTAGTCAAACACACGAAGATGAGTTATGTTTAGTAGTAGTAGTAGTAGTAGTAGTAGTAGTAGTAGTAGTAGTAGTAGTAGTAGTAGTGGTGGTGGTGGTAGTGGTGCAATGGCACCCATAGTGAGTCATTTAAACACCAATTTTAATTTACATTTACTTTTGCTCATATTTGTTTGATTTTCATTGAATATTTATTTAATTATGCAATGCGTGATATTTAACTGCTATCATACTCAATCATCTCTAGTGAGTCATTTAAACACCAATTTTAATTTACATTTACTTTTGCTCATATTTGTTTGATTTTCATTGAATATTTTTTTTTTTTTTTTTGAAACGAAAGGAGATCAATTCATTAATACTGCCAAAATCTCGAAATACACGTCGGTGGAGTACCAAACCACACCCTTGTGTCAGTTGTAGAATGAGTTGCCCGGGCTAATTCGTGGGCTACACAATTCGCTGAACGATTAACATGAGAGACCGTAACGTTCCCGATGTCATTAGCAATTGCCATGCATTGCTTTACAATAAGACCTACATACGAGTAATCAGAAATACATTTATTAAACGCATTACAAAAATTAAGGCAATCTGATTCAAGAATAATGTTCCTGATTCTTTGGGTTTTCAACCAAGACAATGCTTCTCTAGCCGCCAAGGTCTCGGCCACGTACGGGTCTTTCTCGCCTACAAGACGTCCACACCGAGCTGCTATAAAGTGGCCTTCATGGTCCCGAAGTACGACACCATAGTAAGCATCTCCCCCTCGCAGCGCCGCGTCAGTATTGCATTTAATCGTGCCTTGTGGTGGTGGAGTCCAAATATCAGTCGCAGATCGAGTCCTCGTCCTTCGGCTATCCGGACGAGTATATCCTTCTTTCCAGTTGATCTTCAGTCGGTCACGCATCTGTCTGGTTGCATTAATATCCGGCGGCTTATTGTCCCAAACAAAATTGTTTCTTGCGAACCAAATGGACCAAAAAATCGCTGCCAGTGTTGTCGCTTCATCTGCCGTTGAGTGACCAATCTGTGCATCCATCATCTCAAAAATATTTCGGCCGTTCAACACATCCGTAACTTCCCATATTCCCTGTGCAAATGCGCATTCCCCAAACAAATGTTCAATGGTTTCCGAAACAAAACCACACATCGGGCAGCCGCCTCCGATCCATACATGTTTGGTTCGAAGATTATCCCGTACGGGTAGAATGTTACGGACGCAACACCATAAAAAGTTCTTGACTTTGGGCGGTATAGGCAGTGTCCAAAGTGTACCCCAGGCATGAAAATCGGACACACAAGCTTGGTGAGATGTTAATTCTCGCAGCAAGTGGTAACCGTGTTTAACGGTGTATTTGCCCTGGATATCCCCCATCCAACGCCAACAGTCTCGGTATTGAGTATGAACAGGAGTTGCTAGGATTCTTACCACATCAGCTGGAAGGAAAAGATCATGAATGATGTCCTCGTCCCATTGGTCCCTGACGTCGAGCAGCCCATTTACCTTGGCCTCTCGTAGCTCATCCACACACGGAGTCACAAGAGCCAAATCGGTTTGTCCCGCAAGCCAATTACAGCCCCAAATCTTTGTGTCACGTCCGTCACCAATTCGACGTGCCACACCCAACTTGAGTACTTGTTGGCCGGCCAAAATGCTGCGCCAGATGTAGCTTGGGTTCGTACCTATCTGAGCTTCCAAAAACTCCGTCTTCGGGAAGTACTTGGCCTTCATGACTCGAGAGACCAGTGTGTCCGGGTGTGCCATTATGCGCCATCCTTGCTTGGCCAACAGGGCAAGATTGAAGTCATGTAGTTTCTTAAAACCGAGTCCACCTTTCTTCTTTGGTTCACAAAGTCTATCCCAGCTTAGCCAGTGGATCCCTCGTCTTCCTGCTTCTCCACCACCCCACCAATATCGATTAAACATCTTTTCCAAGGTGTCGCAGGTCCGCATAGGTAATAAAAAAACTGACATGGTAAAAATTGGGAGGGATTGAGCAATGCTCTTCAACAGAATTTCTTTACCTGCACGAGATAATAGTCGATGCTGCCATAACCCAATTCTTGCACGGACCTTCTCCTTAATGTAACGGAATATAGCGACCTTATTTCGTCGCAAGACTGACGGGAGACCCAAATAGCGCCCCAAATCCGTAGCCTCGTGCACCCCAATTAAAGCAGTCACAGTATTTCGGGAAGAAGCTGTCGTATTACAACTGAAAACAGCACTGGATTTGTCATAATTGATTAACTGACCAGATGCCGAACTATACACATCAAGGCAATCCTTGATAGTTTTTGCTTCATGTTCGTTTGCCCTGAAAAAAAGGAGACTGTCGTCAGCAAAAAATAAGTGAGTGATGGTCGGAGCACCCCGAGCCACCCTCACCCCATGTATATCCCCTCGGGCTTCTGCCTGCTGTAAGAGGACGGATAGTCCCTCCGCACAAATTATGAACAGGTACGGAGATAATGGATCTCCTTGGCGGATGCCTCTAGTGGGTTTAACCAGACCCGCTGTCTCCCCATTAACTAAAATTGTATATTCCACAGTTGTAACACATAACATGAGAAGATCCACCCACCCGTTATCAAATCCCAGAACCCGAACCATTCCCTCCAGGAAGGCCCATTGCATCCGGTCATATGCCTTGGCCATATCTAATTTCAACGCGGCCCATCCCTGTAACCCACCCGTTTTCGTACGCAAAAAATGCCCAACTTCCCCGGCCAAAATTATATTGTCTGTGAGCAACCGATCCGGTACGAAGGCACTTTGTGTTTGTGACACAACATGGTCTAGAGCCACTTTCATTCTGTTGGCCAACATTTTAGCTAGGATTTTATAGACCACGTTGCAAAGCGCAATCGGTCTAAGATCCGAGACTTTTCCTGGTTCTGGTTTTTTCGGGATTAAAACGATGTGTGAGTCGTTTAACCCGGGTGGGAACTGCTTCTGCTCCACACACTGTATAAGGAACAGAGTTAAATCATGGCCGATTGTCGGCCAAAAATGTTGGAAGAATGCCGGAGACATTCCGTCTGGCCCTGGTGATTTATCCGGGGCCATATCAAAAACTGCTGTTTTCACATCCGCAATTGTAAAGGGGAGTGACATGGAGACATTCATCTCAGCAGTCATTCTTGCCCGAACGCGATCAAAAATGGATGTAGTACAAGTGTTGGCGCCAAAAATATCTTTAAAATACCTGATTATTTCAGCCTGCATTCCCAGTCTTTCTACCCAATCGCCAGAGTGGTCTTTGATGCGTACTAGAGTATTGTTTCGTCGGCGAGCAGTAGCCGTGCGGTGGAAAAATTTGGTGTTCGAATCCCCTTGCTTGAGCCAGAGTTGCTTGGATCTTTGTTTCCAAAAGACTTCCTCTGCTTTCAGCAGTCCCTCTAGTTCAATTTCTGCCGCAGAAAACTGTTCAACTGCGTGGGGATCGCGATCCTCCTTTAGTTGGTGTAGAATACGTCATAACGTTTTGATACGAGCACCAAAACGACGGTGGTACTCCCCGCCCCATTGCCATAATCTCTCCCCGCACCTAGCAAGTCGATCCTGGAAGTTTAAATCTCGGGAACACTGCCACGCTTCGTCCACGACCTTCGCACAGCCCTCTTCAAGTAGCCACGCATTCTCAAAACGGAATTTGCGCATAGCTGCTCGCTCAGGGCCCTTCCGTACGTTTACTAAGAGAGCACAATGGTAAGAGGAATTGGTTGCCACAAAATTATGTTTTTAACCTGCACAGTGTCGTGAATCTCCATCCAGTCCATGGTTGCCACAACCCTGTCCAAACGCTCTTCTACCCAGTCCTCTGTCCCCCTGCCTTTCTCCCACGTAAACTTGGCTCCAGTCATGCCCAAATCAACTAGGTCGCAGTCGTATAGTGCATCATTGAATCCTTCTATGAGAGCCGAAGGGTGAGAGTGGATTCCCCTTTTTTCTGATAAACAAGATATGTCATTAAAATCCCCCGCAACAACCCAAGGCAGATTGGATTTGGCCTTGAGTTGCCAAAGGAGATCCCATGTTACTTGCCGTTGTGCTCTGTCTGCTTCGCCGTAGAACCCGGTTAGTCGCCATATTGGTTGTCCTGGTATGGAGATCTCCATATCAATGTGATTGTTGGAGTAGCTCATTAGAGACGCAGTGCTGGTAATTCTCCAGAAGAAAGCCAAACTTCCCCCGAAACCCGTTCGCTCCACACAAACCTTGCTATCAAAACCCAATTTTATTCTTAGTGTTTCCATCTGAACTTTAGTAGCTTTTGTCTCTATTAAAAAGACAAATTCGGGTCGCTCCTTGGACACAATGCCCAAGAGTTCGCGAACTGTCCGGGTGCCACCCGTACCCCGGCAGTTCCAACATAAAAGACTCATTGTTCCCGGCGAGCCTGGCCGTCCAGGCTCACCGTTTCCTTCTGTTTAATCATATCAGTCATCAGCACATCGATAGTACTTTTTGTTCCAACTGCCTCATCCTCTTCACGTCGGCGTTTCAGATCCCCTTGGAGTCCCACGGTATTCTCCATCGCCAGAATCATGTCTGGTGTCGGGCCGGCTGCGGGGGTGTTCATCTTGGGCTCAGCCGGTGTCGATGACGATAGGAGCCACTTAGCCCCGACTGGTTTCACCTGCCTCCGCGGACCTGCGCGCATCCAAGCACCGAAGGGAAAAGCCTCCGGCAATATGCCTTCCTCGTAGACTGTTTTGCAAAATTTGTCTGAATGTCCCATAACTCCACAGCAATAGCAGAAAGTACCGAGGCGTTCGTATTTGAACGTAATCCATTGTGAGGAGCCGTCCCTTCGCAGTAATTGAATTCGGCGTTTGAGGGGCGTTGTCACGGTCATGCGCACCCGGATTCTGTAATGGCTCTTCCAGTTACCCCCGAAATTATGTGGATCCATTGAATATTTATTTAATTATGCAATGCGTGATATTTAACTGCTATCATACTCAATCATCTCTAGAAAAAAATAACACAATTAAAATTCAATTGAATTAATCTCTTCTCACGTACATATAAGTGCCTATTATTGTTACCTAGCATTGTAGGCAATAATCAGGGAGTGTGGTTGAGTGGAAAGTACTCATCCATCCTTAATCAAATGAGGGTTTGATCCTTGCTTCAAGTACAAAGCAACTTTAAATCTCCAGGCCAATGAGTGAATTAGTCACTAGTTTGACGGTGAAAATTCTAGGTACACCTCCCATCTAGGCACCGATTAATCGGTGCTAAGCGTTGTCCGGCTGCCTAGCGTATCACCATGGCAATTAGGTCATCTAGTCGGTCAATTAGCTATTGTTCCATTCTTTTTTAAATGGGTTATTTTACACCTCCCATCTAGGCACTGATTAATCGGCGCTTATGCGCTAGGTGTTGGTCGGCCGCCTAGCGTATCACCATGGCAACTAGGTCATCTAGTCGGCCAATTAGCTATTGTTCCATTCTTTTTTAAATGGTTTACGTTATTTTACACCTCCCATCTAAGCACTAATTAATCGGCGCCTAGGCGCTAGCCGTTGGCCGGCCGCCTTGCGTATCACCATGGCTACTAGGTCATCTAGTCGGCCGATTAGCTATTGTTCCATTCTTTTTTAAATGGATTATTTTACTCAAAACAGTATTATTTTGAGCGAAGTCACTCTAAATTGTTCAAATTCTATATGGTTTTTTAGGTAAATATTTAATATTTTAGTATTAACTATTAAAGTATTAAATAATTTATAATTATCAAGTTAGAGTTCAAACACTACTACGTTATAGTGTAGTACGTACAACGAACTACTTGATTACTATCCCTTTCTTTCATAAGTTGACAAGAGAACACTGAACACTTTCACAGATTCAGACTGATCGATTTAAAGTGCGAACATCCATACATTTGAATCTGTGCTTTTCTCTTTCCCTGTTGTCGGCACCGATTCGAGATCGACTCCTAACAATTACAGTGTAAAAGTTACCCTAATGTGATAGGTTACATTTCTTGTAAATATCAAAACATTATTGATCAAAAGTTGCTAAATTATTATAAGGGAAAATTGTATATTTGGTCCCCATGTTATGCCCAAGTTCTGACTCAGTCCCTGAGTTATGGCCGTATTTATTTTTAGTCCTTCAGTTATGAACGAAGTGGCGCATTTGGTCCCGACCGTTAAAACGGTTAGAAAAATTTAAAAATATTTAAAATTTGAGGGGTAAAGTAGGAAATTCACATTTTATTCTCCTTATATCAAAATCACTTTCACAACATTATTTTTTACTTCTTAGCCTCTTATTTCAAGATTGTTCAATTCTAAAAGCATTTCAATAACTTTAGTATGACTTGTTAGGAACCTGGCTCTCGTATACAAACTTAAAACTTAGCACAAATAAAGAAACACTTGTCATGGTCTTTGGACGTGTGAAACACACTATCCTATCAATTTTCAAATTTTCTTTACTAAGCAATAAGGGGGCGTTTGGTTCAGGTTATATAACATAACCAAGGGAATGTGACATTCCAATGCTCACATTCCTATGTTTGGTTCACATTAGCTCAGGGAATCTAACATTCCCCAGGAATGTCACAATCCCTCCACATAGGATTTTGAAGGGAATGTGATTCCCTTCAATTTCTAAGGTTATGTAAGATAACCTTGGTTATGTTAGTTTATTACACACACACACACCCACACACACACACACACACACACACACACACACACACACACACACACACACACACATATATATATATATATATATATATATATATATATATATAATTATTTTTGTAATTATACATTTTTTATTTTTATTAGGCTAAAGTGTCATCCCGCACCCTCAACCATATGCGATTCTTCATGCCGCACCCTAAACTTTAATAAGTGCCGATTAGATTCACAAACCAATTTTTTCTTTTGTCGCCTAGCATTTTTAGAAGGTTGTCCGGTAAACTTGATGACGTGGAGCCGGTAATATCTGATGTGGATTATTTTTATTTTTTTTACATTTCCTCATAAAAAGTATCTGATGTGGATTTTTTTTTTTTTTTTTTTTTTTACATTTCCTCCTAAAAAACTATTCTTCAGTTCATCCGCCTGGTTTTGCGCTCGGAGAATTGGCTGCCGAAGAGGACGAGAAGGGGATTGGAGAGACGGAAGAGGTAGAGGAATAGCCAGGCGGCGAGAAAGGTGAAGAGGATGAGGGGGGAGAAGGGATTGGCGATGAGAGAGAAGCCGAGAGTAGCATCGAAGGAGGGCACGGCGGCAGTGGTTTGAGCAGGGGTGGGTGCTACGACAACGGTGTCGGAGGAGGGCACGGCGGCGGTGGTTTGAGCATTAGAGATCAGGAGAATCGCAAGTGGGTCCTCGCGGGTAAATCGCAAGATTCCGTCTCCGTCGCCGGCCAGAAGATCCTCCCCGACTACACGGCTGGATATACACGGCGGTGGTGGTGAACTGCACGTTCCCGTTTCCCTTCTACGACGGCGACATCGGCGGCAAGCTCCTGATCCACACCACCACCAACGTCGACGGCGACACTAACCTCAACACAACCGACACCTTCGAGGCCATCATCGAAACACCGGAAGATTTCTCCAATTTCGCAAAATCGTTCCAATTGCACAATTGAATTTGGGGTTTGCAATTCAATCATTCAAATTGCGCAATTCCAATTGCACACTGACACATTAGGGTTTTCAATTGCATAATTGAATTTGGGTATATTAGAGCAAAGTGATGACAGGGCTGCCATCTCTACAAAAGCACACACGTCAATAACATATCAACTCCACATCAGCAACTTATGACCGGAAACTTGAAGGAAACCTTCTAAAAATGCTAGGCGACAAAAAAAAATTGGTTTGTGAATCTAATCAGCACTTATTAAAGTTGAGGGTGCGGCATGAAGAATCGCATATGGTTGAGGGTGCGGGATGGCACTTTAGCCTTTTTATTATGTTAGATTAGCATGTAAAATAATTTTGTTTCTCAAGTTCAATATTTTAGTTAATATTTTAAAATCATGTAATTATATATGGTATCGTTATCTTATTTATTTATTTTAATTTTTAAATTTATTAAAATATATGAAAATATGTTAAGGATATTATAGTGTGTGAATAAAAGATAACCCTAAACCAAAAATGATTATATTACATACCCCAATTTTAACCAAACACAGGAATCTAACATTCCCAACAATCTAACATTCCCTAAGGTAATCTGACGTTCCGTGAACCAAACGACCCCTAAAGGTAATCAAACCAGAACTTTTGAGATGCAAAATGATATCAAATTTCTCAGGTGCTTTTATGAGAAAATTCACCAACGGAATAACTTGAGATTTTCAGTATGTAAAATTTTTTCATATGTAGTAATTTAGTCAATAATCGTTTTTAGAAGTTACAAAAGTTTTTAGAACTTTCATAACTGAGTCTTAGGTTCCTCATTTGTTACTCTGGTTTTTAAGAAGACAGATGACGTGATATATATATATATATATATATATATATATATATATATATATATATATATATTGTCAGGATATACGATTCTTTATTAAGTTTTTGCAGAGCTTACGAAAGAATTTTACGTAGTAAAAATTTCAAGTAACTTCCTTGGTGAATTTGTTATAAAAATAACCTGAAAATTTTGATATTTCTTGTGTTTCAAAAGTTAGGTTTGATTACCATTATGTTTAGTAAGGGAAATCAGAAACTTTTAGGATAGTGTGTTTTATATTCTTGAAGACAATGATCAATTGTTCTCTTGTTTGTACTGAGTCACAGGTTCCTTATATGAGACTCAAGTTACTAACAAGTTATATGAAGATTATTGAATTGCTTTTGGAATTGAAGAACCTTGAAATAGAATTCTAGGAAGTTGAAAATAATGTTGCAAAAGTGGTTTCAATATAAGAAAGTGAATAACGGTCGGGGATCAAATGCACCACTTTACTTATAACTGAGAGACAACAAATGAATATAGTCATAACTTAAGGATTGAGTCATCACTACCATTATAACTTAGGAACCAAACTCGTCATTTTTTCTTATTATAATTTATTTCTCTACAATTTTGTCGGGATGAAGTATAAAAGCCATCGGTGGAAGAATTTTCCCTTTTGAGGGAGAAGAAAATAAAAATACACTATATAAATTGAGTGGGGGGGCCATTGGGTACTTAATTTCATGGCCAGTTATGATGGCCGTGGATAATAACGCTTGTGGCCACAAAATGAAGTTATATTTCTGAACACG